TCGAGACCAGTCAGGAGTGTCTACTACAGGAGTTATGTCCCCATTCGCGGTATTCCCTCTTGGGAACGAACCTTCTTCGTCTTCTCCAAGCTGCCAGTTACAGAAAATCCCATCGTTAGTTGTCGACATGGGCAATGGCTCTCCTGCTCCAGGAAGCAAGCTGTTGAAAGTGACGTCCCCGTTTTTCCCGCCTTTGCGCTCTAGCAGAAGCCGGTCTGGTCTGATTATCGTCCCGAGGATGCTACGGTTTGGTCCTAACGCTAGGATCGCTTTCGTGTTTGTTAATGTAGATAGAGCCATTGCAAATGCTGATCGAATCTGTATATAAAGAAACCCTTCTTTATGAGTACATAATCAATCATCTTACTTTGTTTGATAAATTGGAGAAGTGAATAGAACCTGAAAGTAGTTGAATGAGTTCTTCCCAATATCATTATCCGGAGTCTAATTATCCAACACAAACAAATAAAACTAAGTTAATCTTTTGTCAGATACATTCTAAGTCTACTGTTTATACAAAGCCAGAGCTTGAAGCTGACCTGTGGATCCTCGATAGAGATGAGCCCTGGACGGCCTGTGTTCGTGAACCTAGAGAGACAGAAACAAAAAAAAAGACCAAGAGATTAATGTTAACAGACACAAAAGGTAAATTTAGATGTTTTTAGATTTAGATAATTAAGATGAGAATAAAGTAGATAAACTCTGTAATTTCGGTTATGCATACCCTTTGTTGTACTTTGAGAAGAAAGAACCTCCCATTTTGCAAGATACACCGACATCTGTGGTGTTCAACTTTCGCCCATAAAAATCAAAGAATTTGACCTACAATAAGAAGAAAGATATATTTTAGTCAACAAATGAAGCCAAACAATCAAAAGCTTCAAGTCGAGATGACAAAAACATACCAATAGAACTCCCAAGTTATGCTCCGGTGGGCTTCGACCATCTTTGAGGTACTGTTTCATAAAGTAAACAAAGGTATAAAAAATAAGTCCACTTCAGAGTCATTTTTTTAAAGTGAACCTTCGGCATGTGAAATTCAAGTAACCACTTTACCTTGAGAAATGCAATAAGCATTGCCAGAAGTGCATATGAACCAATTCCACCACTGTACACCTGCAAAAACATTAATGACAATTTTTGAAGTCTTGAATCTGTGAAGAGAAATGATATATATATCAAATAAAACCAGAGTATCTCCAAACCTCATTGAGTTCTCTCTGCTGTAGAAATACTTTTAAAATTAGACATAGTGGTCGTAGAGGAGGCAACCTTAATACAGCATCCTGAAGATAATCAAAGATCTATCGTGAGATTACATAGAATCAACATGATAAGCAACAAGACCAGATCTATCAGTGGAATAAAGTCAAGCGAATTAGATATCACAGACCTGTATAAACTCAGCTGCCTTTGGCCCATTCTCCATATCAAAACTGCAAAGCCAATGCCAAAGTTGATAAGTCATACTAACTAAATTCACATAATCCATTCTCAAAGTCGTGTGTGTAAATATTTGCTGCAATCACAGAGCTCTCTTATCAAGCACAAACCACAGAGCTTTTATTGAGGATATTCAACAGGCTAAATATTCAAAGATCCATCAAAAATTGCTACGAAATCAAAATCTGCCTACAATCTATTTTAGGAAAATACCAGACAAAATCTGAAAGGGAAGCTAGTAGGTGGGAAAATAATAACCTTAGATCAAATGAAATATTGCTTTTCTTCTCGACAAATTTGATAATTGGTACACGAGCCTTAGCAATCACCTGCACAGTCAGAGTGATAATTATGAGACACGGTCTCTCTGAGATACTGCCATGTTACGAAAGAAAGTTAAGAGGTACCATAATGTTCTTTGCAATTCCCCTTTGTGACAATGCCCTGGAGAGTGCTCGTAGGCCTAGTTGAGGATTTGTGATACCTGATTCCAGAATGACCACCTTCATATACAGCCAAAAGTTATATAAAAAAAAAAATTAGACTAAGAAAAATTTTCTTCAAACACAGAACTTTACAGGCAATGTATCGAAACAGTATTGCCTTAAATATACAGTGAGGCATGGATCTAGGTGTTAAGACTCATTGAGCTGATTGTTGTGCTTAAGCTCTAAGGCCTTTGTTAAGTTTACATCATACATCCTTATTCTTGTCAATTGCCATCACATAATCAACCAAACAAAAGATGCGAAAGATTACACTTACATCAATGTCACTTGTCGGAAGATAAAGTCCCGTCCTGTAAGATCCGAAAACCTCGACCTGCAACAAAAAAATAACCAGGAATTGGAGATTACAGTTTCATAATTAAAGGATACTCAAGAGACAAAGCTTAAGGTTTCAAAGGTTTGTTGTACCTTGCAATTCGGCCAGATATATAGAATAACACTCCTAACACCATCCATTGCTGCATCACGCTGCGCTTTCTCTTCTTCAGTTGGTAGTAAAAAATCGCAGAAATCCACTATTTCTGCAATGTCAATATCAAAGCTTCTCAACCAGTTTCTTCTGGTTGAATACTATCCAGCGACTAAGCAATCGAATCAACAAGAACTTAAAATCGATGTCTAAATCATCCAGAACTAGCAAAAGACACAACTTTCTTCAGTGATACATTTGAAAGTGTTTGTTTTTGTTATATACCTTTATGCAACTGAAGCATTGGGATTTTGGAGAAACTATTCTCACTAAACCAATTGCTTTCCAATTTGGATA